AAGACCAAAGGCCTCGATCAGCATAAGACTGAGACCACTAAGGCAGAGACCTTGGCCATGGCCAATTAAGACCAAAGACTTCGGTCAGCATAAGACCGAGGCCGCTAAGGCAGAGACCTCGGCTAACGAAGACCAAAGACCGATGCCACTAAGGTAGAGACATCGGCCAACAAAGATCAAAGACCTCAGTCAGCATAAGATCGAGGCCACTAAGGCAGAGACCTTAGCCAACGAAAACCAAAGACCTCAGTCAGCATAAGATCAAGACCACTAAGTCAAAGACCTTAGCCAACAAAGTTATAGCCTCCAAAAGTTTGTATATACATGTAATGTGCAGCCTGTGAGCTGGCAATTGGGTAGAACAAGTCAAGTATTCAATTGCTTAGGTCAGACAATTTTGGACCAAATCAATAATTTTTAATCAAAAGATGAGTTTGCTAAAACCGAACTTGGGATTAAGCCCCAATGACATTATAAATAATTCAACGGTCCAGGTCAAGGGCGGGTTGAAAACGTTGTGCTTTTATACACAAAAAAGATATTGGGGTGATTTTTTGTATTAATTTCTATATTTTTTGCACCAATGCAAATAAAATTGCACTGGAAACAAACCATGTCTAATTAAGTTGCAGATTAATTTGGAGTTCAGCATCACCAGCTGAAAATAAGTCCTCGACAATCCTCTGAACATTAAGAGCATTGCCATTACCTGTATCAGCATCAACGATGATCGGTATAAGTGGAGCAGCAGCATAGACGAACCAAGCCGTTTCCACCATTTCTGAAGGCGTTAGCAAGCCAAAGTTGGGTTAGCCGAGTCCAAATGAGAGAGAGAGAGAGAAAGAGAGAGAATGGTAATTAGTTGTTGGCGTATAATTAAGCCAATTTCTTAAACCTTAGGGGTAGTTTAAGAAATTTGCCCCTCACTGCCTAAACTAGTTGTTATATAGTTGTTGGGGGACAATATTTTCATTTTATTTTTCCCTAAAGTCAAAATACATAAATACCCCCCTATATAGTTGTTTATAACTGTTGGGGGTATTGTAACTCCCCCCACCGAAAAAAAAAAAGGTTGAAACTAGCTGTTGTGCGCTGGGCCGTGCTAGCTCGTGGGCCACGGGCTCCACTGCATGCAATGCGGACCATGCTAGCCCAGCCCACAGACGTGAAACACCAAGTCCGGCATGACCCATACAATTGTGTTATGTTGTGGCATGGCCCATGAACTATTGGACCAGGCTGGGCCGGACTAGCTGAAAATCGTGCCAGGTTGTAAATGGCTATTTAATTTTACACCCATTTGGTATGATTGCAAATGGATTGGATCGGATTCAGTAAATGATACATTCGATTCAATTTGATAAAAAAATCGATCGATCTGAATTTGATAAGAATCCATCGGATTTCCAAGATTATGATTAAAATTTGAATATCTTATCAGATATTTGATTCACATCCAATTCGAATTGGGTTGTGGTAAAAAAGCCTTTATGATAATATAATATTATTTATATAATATAATAATATATTATTATATAAATATATAATATTTCATAACTAACCGATCAGATCGGGTGGTGACGGATTTGATTTAGGGTATATGATCCGATTTATTTATTTCAGATTCGATTTATTAGGATGAAGGGAGTTACGGATTAATTTCAGATTCGAATCAGATCCGATTTATTTATTTGATTAATGAAATCATTTATGAGATTTTTTACCCAAAGCAATTATATACTTTGTTTTTATCTATTTGGAGGTTGTGGAACCCCTCCTCGAAGCATCCTATCTTGTTGTTTGCAATCTAGACAAATAACATAGTTCAAGGAGGAATCTGGCACAAAATGAACATGACATAGAACTGGGGTATATAGAGTTTACCCCATTTAATATTTTAACTTAAATAAAATCTTATCCGTCAGAACATCAGATTCTGATCAGACTCAGATTGGATTTTGGCATTAATAATTTAAACTGTGATTAAAATATTATATTTTATTAATAAAATAAATAAAAAATGAATCTCATGAATATTCTATTTATATGACCCCTTGTTAAATTATAACATTGAAACCAATTTTATTTATAAATAATGTTAAAAGTTTAAATGGTGTATGGTATAATTCATTCTACTATAGAGAGAGAGAGAGTAGTGACAATGCTATGTTGCTCATTTAAACTAGTCTCTCATTGCATTATTCTCGTCAAGTAGAAGACTTGTTTAAGTAGACATATATCAAGTTCGTCAAGAGGATGAGTATGGAAAATTGTAAGACATAGGTTAATTTTAGTGCCTCATTTTTATCTTAGTACAAGCAGGGACTCGTTTGATGCACAGATTTATTAAACGAAAGTTAAATAATAGAAACACATAAGAATATACAACTGTTTTGTATTTTTAATTTTTTAACTAATTAATAATTATATATATTTTATATATTATATTTACTAATTTCTTTACAATACAAACAACAACCTCACCAACTCGACCCAAGTTGGTCACTTTTCTAGTATTTTTATTCGGCTTTGGTTCAATAATTTTCCAACCCGACTAGGTTGGATCAGTTTCACTTTGGACATTTGTAAATCGATATATATATATAATTTTTTAATACGGGAAAGTGGGAAAATTCTCATATTTCTTAGTCTAAAATATTTTATATCATAAATTTAATTTTTAAAAAATGCCATTATAATTTTTTAAATCTAAATTTAATTTTTTTAGTTCAAATCTTTTGAACCAACCAACCAAATAAAAAATCAACCTAAACTGATACAATCTAAGTTAGTTTATTTTCACTAATGATTAGTCGATTTTGGGTGATCAACTCCCCAATTTGGCCAAGTCGATTGGTTGGTCAAACAACCTACAACCGAGCCGATCCAACCCATGAATACTCCTAATTTCAGCTAAAACAATGGGTTAATCTCTACTAAATAACAATAGGTTAATCCCCAATAATTATTGAAAATTTATAGCAAAAGCACACAATTATTGAAAGTATATTGATACTAAAAATACAATAATTACAAAATAACAATAAAATACTAAAAAATATATTAAATTAGTCAATAAATAGTTTAATCTTGAATAATATTTTAGTCTCTAATAAATATTAATCCATAATTTATAACAAAAATATAATAAATACAATAAATTAAATTTGAAAAGTTAAATTACAGTAGTTTAAACACCAATAATTATAAAAACATTTCTGTTAAATAACAAAACAAAAATAAATTTATACATAGTTATTGAAAATATATTTTTCACAAAGAAATAATAAATAACTACTGAAAATAAAATAATATTAATTTTAATATAGATAAATATAATATTAAATTTTTTCAAAGTTATTTTCTAGAACTATCATTTGATGTAAGTGAAACTAGTTATTACAATATTATTTAGTTATTTAAATAATATCATTATTTCAATTTTAAAACATTAGTTATTTATTGAATTTAATAATCTATAAATTATAATTTATACTATTACTACAGAATTTCGTTATTAATTTTATAAAATATTAAATTATTATTAATTTGAATATTATGTTATAACATAATTTGAATATTATGTTATATTTTGTTATTTAAAATACTTAGTTATTTAAACATTTAAATAATATCTAAATTATTTAAAATCTTGTTATTTGAATTTTGTTTACTTTAAAGTTATTACATAATATTATATATTTTATTATATAATTATGTAGCTATTTTTAATATTTTTTATTTAATATATTTAGTTATGGAAATATTTAAATAATATTTTATTTTTTTAATGTTAAACTTTTTTTTGTTTGAATAACATTTAAATTGAATCTTCCAAAAAATCACAATTTATATTATTAGTACATAATTTTGTGATGAATTTTGTAAAAATAAAAAATTATTAATAATATGAATATTATTAAATCTATTGTAATTATATTTTTTATTTTTAATAAATATTTTAAAGTTATTATATAATTTTGTTAGAATATTTAAATAATTTTAAAAATTTTTAATTCAAACCTTCTTTAGATAGATATAGATAAAAAGTGGGGGAGAGGATAAATACGAATTAGAAATAATTTAGGAGATACACTCTCTACTAAATTAGAAATAATTTAGGAGATACACTCTCTACTAAATTAGAGACAATTTAGGATATAAATAAGAATTAGAGATAATTCATGAGATAAATAAGAATTAAATATAATTTAGGAAAAAGTGGGGAAGATATTTAGGAGAAATTTTAAGAGCGGATATTATTTAGGCTATTGAGAACGTATGGTAGAGAGAGATTTTAGGTAATTATTTATGGAAAAGAAAAACATGTCATTGGTTGTTTCAACAATGATATGGAATAAAAAAATAAAAAGGAGAAAAAAAGAGAAAACTTCTGCTGTGTTAATATATATAGACTGTATAATGCTGTTATGTATTGATTGTTTTATGCGCTGCAATAATTTGATCCAATATCAACTTCACTGTTGTCAATCCAACCAATTTTCTATCCGCTGGAAAACAATAAGAAAATTGTCAAAACACTACATGGAGTTTTGAGGGGGAGAATATCGAATACTGAGTAAATTATCTGCACCTGATGTTCTTAGTGTGGACTACTACACATGATTTTATAGATAATCTCTATGTAATAATATAGTAAGAAATTAAAATATTTTTGTTTAGAATTTTATTAACAATTATATCCACAACATCGAATTTACTTCTCATAAAGTGCGCCTCACACCAACTTCACAGAACATTGGCAACCCTGCATTGAAAACATCTTCTCATGAATGACAGAATCAAGTACAGGAGCTGTTCTCTATGCACGGCTGAAAGCACTATGAGATTAGTGTGAGGTGCATTTTGTAAGAAGCAAAATCCGGATTCAGTGCAGAACACACCTAAGGAAGTATGGTGTGGTTCAACCATGTGATTTCAACCACACCCTAGTAGAACCCAATGGTACACCACATGCCTACGAGTAAGCAAGCCTGCCAGAGAGAGAAAGAGAGGGAGATTTGCAATAAATAGGATATATATATACAAAGTCCTCAATTGAACAAGATATTGACATGGTAAACTGTTCACATTGCACAGCCCCGCAACACTAGACAGAAATAGATACACATGAACGATTAAATCTCACTTCCAATCAAGCATATCCAAGAGCCACAGAACTTCTTCCTCTGAGTTTGCAGCGTCACAGAAATCCATCTCAATACCGAAGACATCAATGACCCCATCCTTACCATCTTCCATGAACAGCAAGGATATCCAAGCTCGAATACCTGAGACAAACGGATAAATTGGCGAGAAGTCTAGATAATCAAAGGCGAGGGCTCTGTATGCTGTCCGATCAATGTAATCAAACAGTGCTTTGTTGATAATGCATGCAACCTTGTTGGTATCCCTGCGGCCTACAAGTACAGAAACGCTGACAGTCTGGCTTAGAGGTACAGTAAGCCTTGGTTCCACAGGGACTGTCATCTTGTATTCTGGGCCCTCCAAGTGAAACTTCAGCATCTCAGAAATGCCAGCCGGCAAGGTCTTGATTCCAGTTCGAAGAACAGGGCCAGTGATCACTTCTGAAAAAATTATCCTCTCTTCTGCCCAGATGTCAATGTAGAATTCCAAATCATCAAAGGAAAGCCTTGGGGGAAGGAGCATTCTGCGGCTATGGCGTTTATAGAAGGTTCGGTAGAACTTCTGGTAGGTCAGAGGGGGAGGGGTAGGTCTCTTGCAGATAGAAGGCCATCGCTTAACACAGAGGCATTTCCAGAAATAATCATCTCTGGCTATGTCCCTCCACTGCCGACATACCCGCATACAGGAAGCCAGGTCTTTCCCATCCAGTAGGGGAAATACAGCCTTTAGGACCTCCTCATATACCATCTTCAACTTGCACTATTGGTAGATGAGAAGCAAAGAGCAGAAACACAGTTCCCGCGGAGGGGTTATAACATTGGAGAGGTCCAAAGCAATGAGTTACTTGGGTTAGATCCTGAAGGAACAAAAACAGTGGGTTCAGAAACAACTGGTTTCGGTATCATATACTTTTGAAAGGTGTAATCAGACTTGAAAAATAAAAAGACCAAATACATAAAAATATCAAGGTGCTATAAGAGAACAGGTTGCACTTCTTTTCCCTAATTGACAAGGGAACACCATGCATTTATTTAAGAGGAGGAAAACATTACAATCAGAAGTTTCTAACGTTAAGCCTTGTTTCTAGGTATTATAAACATGTAATGTGTTCCACATGGCTGCTCTGCCAGATATTTATTATTTTTTGCAAGAACAAGGAACAAAATTGAACACCAAAAAAATCAATAGGTAACTTGATTTTATGGTTGAGTACTTGAAGAAGTGCTGCATTCAAAACAAAAATTATATGAGTATTATTTGAAGTGCCCCTTTTTTAATCAAAATGACCATGAATTGCTGTGATCATTTCAAGATTTAAACCTTGCTAGTACTAAGTGTATAAAGCATTAAATCGCCCTATTTTCTCACTTCTCAGACCTCTGGAATGTTTGATGTGGGGCATAAGAGTGTGTTCCATAGATCAAATTGAGTCAGTTGAAAAGGAATAGAATGTGATTAGGAAGGTCATGCTCCGGATTCATTTTGATCAGTCTCAGGTGTCATTCTGATTGCCACAACTTGTTTTGCCATAATATGCATCCAAGTGTGTATCCATACCATCTTCATGTAATCTTTGTTTATAATTTACAACACAAAGTATGGAACTTAGATGTTGAGTCTTCCTTTGTGGAGCTTTGCATTATAAAGTTAATCCTTTCCACAGATGCATTCTAACCAATATAATATTTGGCGACCATATGTATGTATTTGCAATTCCTTGCCAGTAATCGTGATATGTTATAGTTTTCTCTAACACAAACAAAATTTTAACTATCAATTATCAAAAGACCTTTTTGCCTTTTACTATTTTGAGGAGACAATGAATTCATCATATCGAATTACCAGAAAAAGAAAACAAGAAAGCAGGGTTTGTATTGTAGCACTAACATTCCAATTTGGTGCATTCTGTTAGTATCTTAAGATCACAATCTGAACTTTTAACATTCCATGTATCACATCCTAAAGTCATACGATCCATGTGAAGATTTTTAGGACACTAGTTAAGGAAAGAATTTTAATATTTGATATAAATAAATTCAATCAGTTCTTGCAAAAGAATGTAAATCAATTCATTTTTCACGTAAGGTCAAGGGGATAAAAGAAGAAATTAAAATATTAGGACAAGGCAAATGCGAGTCTCATCATCTCATGCCCAGCCACGATGGCTAAATCCTAAATGAAGGAAAAGGCACGAACTTACCAATCGCAAATAGAAATGTTATCTCCCTTCGTTTGCGGAATCCTCTGCACTTCAATCCCAAACCTGGGTAAGAGAAGAAACAGAGTTTTTTAAATCAAAATATAAACACATGCTTCATTATTTAATCAGAGCAGAAATTACAGGTCGATTATAAAAGTACCGAAAAATATATAATAATAGAACTACTTCCTTAGTTGAAACGAATAAAAAACAAGTTTTCAATTAAAAAAAAATACAGTATCAATAAGAGTTCATCCATTTCAGCCAAGAAAAGAAAAGAGAGAACCATCTGAAGTGTGAAAATGAAAAGAATGAAAAGCGAAAAATCAAAGCTTCTCAAGAAGAAAAATGCCTTCTTTTACAAAAAGAACATACCATTACATAGCAGAAATATTACTAGAACTGGTCCAGACACCGACTCATACTTACAGACGTAACACTCATGAATAATTTCAATGCCGAGGTCAACAGAAATGGAAAAAAATACTGAAAGATCAGAAACAGGAAAAGAAAACAACAATTAAGGATAGACTTCGATTACAAAAGGAATATAACAAAACATTGGATCCCTCCAAAACCTGAACAAAAGAATACAAAGAAATTAAGAAGAAAGAGGAAGAAATATGGGAATTAAAACTCAATGAAAATTAGAAAATTAAATAAAAAAGCACCAAATTCATCGTGGCAATAGCAAAATTAAAAGCCCTCACATCAGAAGATACAAAACCGAAAATGGCAATCACGAAGATGCGGTCCGAACAAAATAATAGGAACAGAAACAAAATTTCGAAGAGATTCAAACTCCTCACCATTTTCTCTCCGGTCGAAACGGTAAACCCTAGATTCCGTTGGACCGAGAAAGGGATCCGTCTTATCCAACAAACGAAAGAAATGGAAAAGCTATTTAAGTATAAATCTCCAAGCTTCCAAGTTCCAACCCAACTCTTCCTTTCTTCCGGTTTCTAGTTCCTACCCGTTCGTAACATCCAATAATAAGATGGTCTCGGTTCGGGTTTTGAACGTTACGGACCCCACTACGCTCGACGTGTAGGAACCGTGTTGGGTCAGCATCTTTGCGGGGGACGTTCATCCACCGGGGATTAAGAAATGCACGGGTGAGAATAAAAGGAGACAACTTAGATGACGTCATAAATTTGGAAAATGTCAATTCTAACCCTACCCTCCCTAATTATCTTCTTTTTTTGGATAAGTTTCCTAATAGTAATCGTTTTATATGTCATTTCTCACGTCACCTCCAAATCTCACATTATCTATGGGCTTTCTTCGGAGTTAACATCAGCGCCTCGCATTGCCCCATATCACATCCCGACCCTGTAGTGGAAACGTCTCCCGATGATAAGTACGGAAAATGATGAGAAGTAATTGTCATCGGAAAATATTTCCAATAGAAGGTCGGAATGTACTATGGGGCATCGGCTCCCCACGTTATAAATCGGGCTTGATCATAAATTTATGCTTATGAGTTCAGATTTTTTTTTAAAAAGCTTCGTTTAAGCCCAACTTGATATTATATTAAATAATAACAATATATTATTTAATAAAAAATGTATATATAATAGTTTTTCTTCATTTTTTTAGGAATGGTAATTTTTTCTATTTTCCTGATTCTTGTGGGATGGGGATGGGGAAGTTTTCTTTCGTATTAGCGGGGGACGGGATGGGAATGGGAAGAGCATTACCCATCCCGTGGGGACCTCGATCTCTGCTAATATATATGTATATATGTATGCATATGTTATATATGTACACATACATCTATATATTAATATTTAAAAAATATGATTGAATATGTTTGAATCTTTTTTAATAGATTGTAAATTTTAATTATTTTATTTTTATTTTTTAAAATAAAATAAAAAATAAAAACAAAATGGTTAACATTATAAAAAATTACAGGGAATGGGGATCACCCGCATCCCCGCGACGATGGAGATCCCCGTGGGGACGGGGATGGGGATAACTTTGCCCTTGTTAATGGGGACAGGGACGAGAATGGGGATAAGATATTTATTATATTTGAGTTATTCCAGCATTGTCATTCTTAGTTCTTCTTCTCTTTTTTTTCAAGTAATAGTGAGATATTTATTATATTTAAGTTTTGAAGATTTTTAATATAAATAAAACATTTTTTTATTGAATAAAAAAAATTCTATTTTCAAAATTTTGACCAAACTCGAGTTCAAGAACTAGACTTAATGGTCGGGACCGGATTCAGGCTTGGGCTAAGTGTATGGCCATGAACAGGTCTAATCACGTGTAAATAGAGGGGCCTGGGCCCGCATCAAGCTGTGGGCCCGGTGCCCTCTGCTAGTTGATGCATTAGTGATTTTCGTCGTTTTCCTCTCTGGAGCAGAACCATCCATCGATGGCCTTATCTCTCTTAGATGGACACGCAGTAGTTCAGTAAGGAATCACGTAGCTTTTATCGGTGGCAAGGTTCATTATGCATAGTTGAACCTTGTATGGGGAAAAACTTTGGGGCCTCTGTTGAAAACAATTTTAGAAATGCCATGTTAGAGAGGCTGGGGTAAAAGAGTAATTGCACCTTATTTCTTTTTAAAAATAAACTTGGCCATGTGCGTAAATTAGACAGTTGATGAACATGTTCAGCCAAAAAATGCTCTCAACAGTATAGGCCAAAGTTAACGGTGAGATCAGATTCAGTTCTCACAAGACCATGTTCACAGTGTTTTGTATATTTATATCCATGGGCAGCAGATAATCCCAATACACAGCTGCAAGTAATTGTGAAGATAGTGTAAGCACGGTGTTATGAGGACTGAATCCAAATTTTATATATGAGTTTTTCACTTTTCCTTCTTTGCTTCACCTTTTTTTTTATCATTTCTTTCAAATCAAACACAACTTAATATATAAGAGATTGACAAAAGGGGGACTCACTCATCTCATATAGCTTTCGATTCCAATAGCTGAAATTAATGGGCTTATTATCAGGTCCGGTACTTGGGCCAGGGGAGATCATGGCGAGCCTCATATTCCTTAATCCTTATACAATGTGGCAAAAGCCCAAAATATGATTTCATATTCAAATGAGTAGTATGGGCTAGGCTCTGGATCCATTTAAACCTACCTCACTAACACAATACCTTGTTAAGGGTGTGGAGGAGGTTGGGCATGAGATGGAATGGATGAGATATGATACTCGCTGCACTCCCCATCCAGGATCATATATTTTGAATCCGGACGGAATTTGGACCATGTATGAACCGCATGCATTTCCCCTGACCCAGATCAGGTCTGACCGCACCAACTGGGAAAGATTCATCTTATTGTCTGTTCTGACTCTCAAGTAGTAATCCAAGCACTACAACAACAAGCAACATTACATTGGAATACTTCTCATCTTCTTTTTGTTACTTTAAACTTATTTTCCCACCTCAGTTCTATTAAGTTTGTATATATAAATAGGAAGTACAATATTCCTGCAATAATCCGCAGGAAAGGTTTTTGACTTCCTATTTCCCTACTGATATCCCTGTAATCCAGAACTTTGTATCCTGCTGCTCTCAGTAATATAATTTTTGTTTATCTTGCAAAAAAAGCTAGTCAATTTTCTTAACAGGTCCAGAATAGCAAACACGCATTATCAAAATAAACAAGGTCCAGCCCATGGTGTCTAGAATAAATATGGGCCTTCCGCTGGTCTAACTAGGAAGTAAGTTTGTTGTTGGTAGTTAGTTAGCTTTCCTTAAGTGACCCGGAAATCTTCCCCGCTGTAGATTGAATAGAACCCCATTAGAGGCAACTTTCCTTTAGGCTAATGTTCCATTCCTTTCCCTTCAAACCAAATACAGCCTTAGGTCCTCTAGGGCTGTTTTGTACTATTAGGGGACATTTTTTTTTCAGATTTTGAGAGGGGGAAATCCCTTGTTCTTTTTTTAGATTTATGTGGGGACCAGGAGAAGTTTATATTCCTGGGTACCACTTACCCGGGTAACTAATACCCATCTCTTAGGTGGGTAAATAACTTTCCCACCAAGGGGGAAAGTTGCCAACACTTTAATGGGACAAAAATGCTCATTTTAATAATGGATTTTTATGCCTAAAATGGTCATTGCCTTATTTACATGAGAAATAAAAGAACATGGGTAAATGCACTTACCCAAGTAATTGCATTTACCCGGGTAAGTAACTTATCGAAAAGCGAACAGGGCCTTAGTGTTTTTAGGCTGTGTTTGAAAATGATGCAAATAGAGTGTAAATCCCGGTTCAGGGTAAATTTGCACTCTGGTTCACTTTTGCCAATATTTGGCAACATTACATTTATGCATTGACAAATGATAGACCAATGTACATTGATAATAAGATGTAAAAGTACATCAATAAAAAAGAAGTAAATTTGCATTCAAGTGGGCTTTTGATTAAAAAAAAAAACATGTTTTATCGGAGTTCGTGTTTGCATCCATTAGAGCTAAAAGTCTGTTTGGTAAGAAGGTAAATTTGTCAATACAAAATTAACCCAACTTTACAATTTATATGAACCATTTTACACTATACATATTTGCATTCACACTTATTTGCATCGTTTCCAAATGCAGCCTTAAGTATAAATGCCACCACATCAACACCTCATAGGCATTTAATATGAGTTCAACTTTGAATTTTCTATTTGGTTGGAGATAGAAATGTAAGTGATCTATGTTATTCATGAGCTATCTGAGCTTGTCTCACCAAGTACTTTAACTCAAGACTAGAAGATAATTAAGTTTGAGATTCGCAATATCCGGGTCGAGTAGTTTGTAAGTCTAATTGAACTTACAATTTTTTTAACCCTAAACTTTACTCCAAGTGGAGGGGCATCCACCATAAATTTTATTAAAAAAATTCAACTACGAGAGAAACAGGGGAAGTTGTAGCCTGCCTTGTTCCAAAACCCAAGGTACAAATCACACCCTGACACTCAACCCTTCACCCATTAGCCGACTCTAAGTTTCGACAGGTACAATAAATCATCAAAAATAAGAGCTCTAACTGTTCATTGAATGTATGAAACATGACCAAAGATGGAACTTGTTTCCTCCAACACCACAAGTTTAACAAGAGAATCAACCACCGAATCCCCTTCTCTAATGGTCCATTTGGTTGCCGAGAAATAGTGGGATGAGAAGGGATGGGATGATAAAAGGAAAATTTATTTTCTCATTTTTGGTATCTTGTGTTTATTTGCTGAGACCTATTATCCTACAAAATATGCTTCTAGTGTTTGGTTGATGAGAAAATTTTGTAGGAAGAGATAGACGTCAAAAGCCAGATTTAGAGTTCATGCGTTAAATTGAATGGAAATGGCTGTCAATATGGAAGAACAACGCCTATAACAATAGATCTACCATTTTTCTGTGAATGGAAACAGGTCCAGAAGACTAGGGATGGTGGTAGACGAAGGCGAAATTTGAAGGGAGATTCATTCAATGAAAGTAGACAATTATGGTACAAAAATGGGCAGAAATCACGAGAGGATGCCAAATCTGAGCTTACCTTTTGAAAAAATCACCAGAGATGGTGCCAGTGAGATGACCGTTAGATAGCGTCGGATAAGAAGGCGATGTTCTCTAGGTTGTTGGC